TTAACAAATGCTAACCCAACATGAGAAACTGAGCAGTGCAAAAAAATGGTGGGGGCGATGTTATGTAGTACATGCATCCACAAAGGAACAAAGAAGAAGAAGAAAACATGAGTCTGACATTATGAAGTGTGTATTTTCATATGAAACAAACAGGGCGGCGCTGTTGGAAACCCCCAATGTGTTTCAACAAAAACCTGGACAGCACACCAACACATCTGTGGTTTAGTGTCTGCTTGTTCCTGTCATATCAGCTTTCTGTCTCTGCCCTGTTTACGCCGTCGCTTAAGTGGGCTTCATGTCTACCCTCCATGTTAGCAGCCGCGGGTCTTTGATCTATGACTGTCAGCGTTGGCAGACGGCGTGGCCAATTTAATTAGTCAAACAATTCCAGAGAAAGTGACACCAGGTGCCTGGTTCAGGGGAGATACCGCTGCTTCACTGAGGAGTCCAACAGACATGAACCACCTGTGACTGAAGACGCCGAGGCCTCGGTACAAATGAACAGGTTCACGTTAGTTACCGTAGGTTTTCTGACGTGAAACAATGAAAGTACAGATAATTAGCTTCATCAGCTCTTTCATCGTTCAATAGATTTATGCATCTAGACAGAAAAAAAATCTGAAATGAAAACTTGTATGTTGATTATAATAAATACTTTTAGTGTCATCTTTACTGCTTAATCCTTATAACTCCTAGCAGGGAGGTTTGGGGTAACGCTCTCAAACAGAGAAGGCTAACTGTAGCACAGCAAATAGCTGAATTAGCTTCTCCAGCTCGGTCACAAGTAGCATGAACTCTGTCGTTGTTTGAATGGTTACAGAGGGGGCGGGGCTGACCATATCATCTCCCCCTGCTCTGTAGCCATGGTGACACAAGTGCCAGAGGTCTCAAACATCTCCACTCTGGGACCTGTATAGGGGGAGCGTGGAGTTAACCAAATATATATGGTACTTCACACAATCTTCTAAGTGATGTTTTGGGAGAGCGTTTATTCACTGTAATTATAATTATTAGACTGTTTTACACAGGAGCAGCAGCGTTGGTTGAATTGTGAGGGAATCGGAGGTAGGCCTCATACACAGCGAGGTTTGAGACTGTGGATTCAAAGCCAGAATAATACAGAGCTCATACTTGGTGTGTGTCCGAAGATTTGTCCACATGACGGTGAGTGTTTTTTAAAACTGTTGTTCCTTCCTCTTCATTTATCTCACCCTGACTAAGTGTCTCACCCCTTAAACCCAGCGACCCGTTGAATCGCTGCGCTCCTCTCGGTCTGTTGCACATTTAATTCAACAGAAAAGGCTCCATAACAACAATGTAACAAATCACCGGAAACCAAGTTACGGAGACGAAAAAGGATTAAATCATCTTTCGGTTGAAAATAGACTGTAAGTGTTCGGCACAGTCCATTATCCTGATGAGATTACAGCAGAGTCAATACCAGACTGAAACTGCAGCCCTTCAGTCTGGCAGACCTGTTACTGAGAGCATTCCAGTGAAGGCATAGTTTTGGAAGGCATTTAGTGCATGGCTATTATTTGGTTTAAAGTTTTCTCCATAATGACTGTGAAGACGTTGGAAAATGTATTTTTCCAGAATCAGGAATAGTAATTTGTCAGGAGTCTTTGTTTTTTTTTGCCCATCCTATGAGGTTATTAAAAAAAATTAAAATTAAAATGCAACAATTTGAGGAGCTGTATGTTCATGTATTAATAACAATTAACTAAACACTGAAGTTGACACAAAGAAACAATTGTGAAAATTGCCAAAAAATGTTAGCAAATAATATAAAAAAAGCCTAAATATATATCTAAAAATAGTAGAAAAGATACATTAAATATATATGTATATTCACCTAATATATAAATATATATATATATATATATATATATATATACTGTATAACAGAATAACAGATATAACAGAAGCCTGTGGGCTGTGATTATTTTATGTAACTCTCATGTCAAACATTTATGAAATAAATAAATGAAAATAAAAAAACAAAATTAAAAAATAAAATTAAATAACAACATTCAAATAACTAGCTGAGAAGCTGAATAAGCTAAATTAAAAATAAACAGGAAGCAGCAGCTGCTTAAATGTAGAAAACCAAGCAGCAAATGTGTTCAATCAAGCCAAACAACACACACACAAAAGGCCGTCCTCTCCACTCCTCCGCCCACTTGTAGGGCTCCTTCTCACCCATTGTAACCAGAGGAGGGGGTGATGAATCTGTGTCCTGATCTTACTCTCCTCTGCCCCCAGATTGATTTTTATGAAGCGGAGCAGGATAATGAGATCACAGCGTGAATTTTTTCGGGGACAGGATGAAGACACAGAATCTGCATCTCAAATGAAACGTTGGCCCACTCACCCCCTCACCCACTCACCCCCCTAGGACCAACCCTTTCCCCCTTAGAGAATGAACTGAGGGAAACAACAAGGTCTCGCAACAGAGAGAGAAAAAAGCTGAAAGACACATTGAGACGAGTCCAGAGGAAAAACCCACCAAATTCCCTCATTAAATGGTTAGGTTTGGACTTTCTGTGGGAAAAAAGAACAGACGAAAACCAGGCGAGATATCAAAACATCGGCATCAATCCACATAGGAAATGTAACAACACAAATTTCAGATAACATCATTTTGAGATGTGCAGTATTTTTCAGCAGTGGCAGTCTGGAAATAGACCTGCAGCCATTTCCTCTGGATGTGTGGCAGAGGAGGCTAGACATCACAATAACAGTGATTACATCTGGATAAAGACGGTAATTTTATTTCAACAGGCAGGAGTGTGTACTGTATGTGTGTGTGTGTGTCGCACAAGCTCCAAATGTGTGACCATGATTTTTTGATACAAGAACAAAGCGAACGATTCAACCAATTGTATTGTCACAAAATCCTTTTTAATTCTTCGGTGGTTGAACTGCAGAAAGTCTCTTTTTTATCCCTTAATGGGGAAATTTACATTGTGAATTTACCAACGCAGGCTGCCACAGGAGGCGCTATTAAGTAATGCACTCTTCTTTCAAGGCAGGCGTGCTAACCGCTACACTACAGAACCAGAAGAACACGTTTTAAATGTATGGACAATAACTAAAGTTAGCTGGAAGACATGATGACCACATGATGGTTGATTGTTTTTACTGCTGTGGTATCAAAGTTATGGCTCGTGGACCGGTTCACACACACCAGCAGTGGCACTGTGTGTTACATATGGGCCCATTGTCAAATCTTTCCATGGACATCAAAATTGCAGCGCCCCCTGCATACCATGCTAGGTATTTAACTACAATGATGGTTAAATACATACATTGCATTTGTCATATAAAAGGGCATTTTTAATTTATTATATTATATTATTTTAAAAATATAAATAGCAGAGACC